TTCCACTTCTCACGTGTACACCACTTTGTGTTGGTCTTTCACGTGGAATTCCAATAAAATTGATTCATGTTTGTGGCTGTAATGTGACAAAATGTGGAAAAGTTCAAGGGGGCCGAATACTTTTGCAAGCCACTGTATACTGTTAAAGTGATATTATTATGTAGAAGCTCCATTTCCTTTTAGTAACATTCAAAACTGACCTGACTTGATGGCAGAAATCCTCAAGATGTTTCACAATGCACTATATCTGAACAACCACTAAAACAAAAAGAGCAAAATAGTTTGGGAAATACAAAGAAGACTGTTTTTGTAACATATAATAATTAGTTATTTACAGTTAAACTTATATTTGAGTTTTTTATATGGAAACCTTTAGAGTTCAATAATATTTCTAATCTTTTATGTTAAGAAACATTAATACTTTCAGTTTATATTTGCTAAAAACATAAAAACAAAACTACACCGACAAACATGTATCTTCTTTTAGCTTTTCTCCTGTTACTATAATGATCATGGCATATATACATATACCTCTTTATACCATCTCACCTCCTTAATGGGTGTGCCAATCATTGCCATACATACACCATTAATTAACATCTATATGGTTTTTTTTATGGTAAATGGGCTGGTTTTTACACGCTGCTTTTCTACTTTACTTGAGCACTGAAAGCACTTTAAATAACATGTTGTCACATTCACACAAGCACATTTTTTTCTTTGCCTAAGTGCTTTCTGTCTAGCATTCAAACACATTCACTCTCAGATGGATACATTGGAGAGCAATTTGGGGTTCGGTCTCTTACTGAAGGATACTTTGGCATGCAGGCTGGGGCAGTCAGGGATTGAACCACCAACCTTCCAACCAGCTGTATTGTAAATGCTATTTCTTCTGATTTTCATATTCATCATCCATCTGCAAACGCAATGTTATGTCCTCAGTTTGCATTTGTTACATGTGTCACTTTAAATGTACTTTGCCAGTACATAACATAACAGTCACCAAAATTTGTATCTGCAACAGAATTTGATCCAGTCACCACTAAATACAAAATGAAGAACTTGCAAAAGCATCACTGGCCTATATACACAAATAATTGTTTTAAGGACAGGTTGGGCATTATGATTTCATGACGATTATAGAAGACCTTAATACATTTAAATGCATGATAGCATGCAGTAAATAAAATGACTATATCACTGATGGGTAATTTTGTTACTGTCATAAACCAGGCAAAGACACGGTACTGTCATTTTAAGGGGCTGTATATTTAAATGTTAGACTTCATTGATAGGCATGAGGAAATGATAATATTTGAGAGGGAAAAACTGCTGTTGGTGGTATTTGAGTGAACTTTTGCCAGTCTTTGTCTTTGATTTAAGCTTTTCTGTTCCAAATAGATGTGTTTAGCATCTGAAGCTGGAAAAATGGACACAGTTGCATCTCAGCCAGAAGACAGCTCCTCCACAGACCCTCTCCAACAAACTGCTATCAAGCCAGAGGTCAAGGAGGAGAGAGCAGACACTGACCTCTCCCCTGCCTCTCCTCACAAAGCAGCACTCTTACCTTCACTCTACTCTCTCACGTCTACCTCCACTAATGCCATTCTCCCACAATTCAGCAGCCAAAATGCACTTGTCAAAAAAAAAGGTAAGAAAAGAGACGTGGCAAAGTCAAATGACAATGATGAGAGCCGGTGTTCATCAAAGAAAGTTATAAAGAAGGCTAACCCTTCAGAAAGCCTGGACAGTGTATTCAGTACAATCGAGTCAGTGGCTAAAGGGGTCTGTTTGGACACAGAGGAAAAGTCCAAGAAGAAGGATGACAATTGTCTTAGTGGTGGGTTGCCCAAAAAGAAGAGTAAGCCGAAAATCAAGAGCTTTGTCAAAGATGAAGAGGAGATGGATGACAGCAGTGGGCAGAGTGGACAGCACAGGTCCCCTGAGGTAGAAATGAAAGAAAAGTTGTCTGATATTGGCTCCAGGACAGAAGCAACAAACGTGGAAAGCACTGATTTCCAAGGACAGACAATAGAACCCCATAAGTCCTCTTGCAATCATTCACTTGTTAATCTTGAAGAGCACGACAAAGGAAAGGAAAGGTCAAGCGATGCAACTTGTGAGTCTAACACTGAAAATCGTGGGTCCAGGAAATCAGAGCGAACCTGTAAAGGCGCCTTATATAAAACTCTGGTCTCTGAGGGAATGCTGACTTCACTGAGAGCCAATATTGACCGAGGTATCTATTTTGATTCAAGAACGATGTGACTGATACATGTAAGGGGCAGAATTTAATTCATGTTTTGCAAATATCTGCAGGTAAAAGAGGTATTTTCCGTACGTCTGATCATGACGCTAACTGGAGTGATGACAGCTGGACAGTTTCACAGATAGGACCTAATTGTCCCAAGAAGCTCAAGAAGTCCAAGTCCAAAGACGAGTCTTCTCAGGGGTGAGTTGGCTTTTCTTACAGTCATTCTGAGGAATAGGAGTAAGTAACTAATCCTTCATTTTTAATCCAAGTATCATTCTCACTCTTGTGGCCCGTAGTAACTTGAAAATATAATTATATATAGATGTATTTGTAATATTGGTCCCAGATAAAAAGAGAGATCAATTGAATCAAAGTTTGAAAAAAACTTTTTGGGGGGGCGGGGGGTGTAATAATTTTGCCTGTATTTATACATCATATTAGCACTATTCCACTTTTGTGTGTATGTGTTTAGATTTACTTTGGTGAATAATTAAAAGGTTTTAGAATATATATGTAATACTGACAAAGTTGTAATAGAATTCCTGTCTGGAATGCTTTTAGAGTCAGCGGTCCCAACCTTTTTTGCGCCACGGACCGGTTTATGCCCGACAATATTTTCACGGACCGGCCTTTAAGGTGTCACGGATAAATACAACAAAATAAAACTAGTACCGGTACCGAAAAAAAGAAGATTTATTCATAACACACGTGAAAAGACCCAGGAAAACCGAGTTAAGATAAAAACGATAACAAAATAACGCTGAAAACCGATAAAAACCCTGAAAACTATACATTTCACACCTGAGCCTCAACTCTCGCGGCCCGGTACCAAACGACTCACGGACTGGTACCGGTCCGAGGCCCGGGGGTTGGGGACCGCTGTTTTAGAGTGGTAATACATAAATGATATTTTTAGCTAATAGATTACCAGTGTTGGGTAAGTTACTTTAAAATAGTAACTTAGTTACATTACTAGTTACTTCTCTCAAAAGTAACTCAGTTACTTCAAGTTACTCGTTACTTTCAAAGTAACTAGTTACTAGGGAAAGTAACTTTGGTTTTACTCAGAATTCTCTTGTTAATGTGTTGCTTCCATAACTTTGCCAGTCTTCTAGCTTGCTTACTTGCCACAAGTGCACTGTGCCACCTACCAATAGAAAGGAAAAGATAATGTGCATATTTCCACGAGAGAAATCCCACGCCTGGACCGTCATTGACTGCTGCCATGATTCTAGCCTACGTCACAGGTCATGTGCGCCTTTTACATCCAACACAAAAACTGCAGTCGTGGTGCTTTCGATTGTACTCAGAACTCGGAAATTCTGCCTTCTGAATAGGAAGATGTAGGTAACACCAGACTGCAGATGAGCTGCATACAGGGCTGGACTGGGACAGAAAATTGGCCCGGGCATTTTGACTAGAGACCGGCCCACCATTATAGGAAAAATCATAAAGCCTTTGAATGAAAATAAACACTGTTGTGACAGTGATGTTCACTGTTCTGATGGTATATATGCATCAATCTATCAATCGTTTGTTGTAAGATTCAGATAATTATTTTTTAAAAGCTAGACATTTTAAATGAGAATAAGAAAGAAAAGTATTTCTTTGTGCCCCCCTCTCCCTGTTAATGCCCTACCTGGCCCCCTGGCAACACTTTGCTAGACCCGCCCCTGCACAGTTACCAGCTGTCAGCTACCTAAAAAAGGATCCTGGTGTTATTTGTCTCTCAGAAACAGTTCATAACTCTTCAACTCATTCATGTCACCTAAAAGGTAAACCTGTTTCTCCATCACCTGTTCAGCTCTGATGATCAGTAAGGACATCTCCTGGTTTCATCTTCATGTTTCCCTCTCACCAGATAACCAAACCATATCATGACCAGCAGCTTTACAGCTGTGGCTCCAGCAAACATCAGCTGATACTAGAAATTAATATTAAATAAATTCTAACAACAGCTGATCAAGCTTAAACGTGCTGCTGTTGTTTAGCGCGACATCCGCTGGTTTCCTCTTTCTGGCGCAAAGTGAGCGATAAACAAACAAGAGAGCCGATCAGCTGATCATTGATCAGTTTCATGATTGAAGTAGAAACAGGAGAGGGAGGGGGAGAATGAGAGAAGAAGAGGCAGCTGTGCAGCGTAAACACAGAATAACTCCAGCTTTGTGTCTTTTTCATTGTAGCTGAATTACGGGACAAACTGTTCCTTTTCACCTCAATAAGAAACGCGTAATATTTTCTCTGAATACCAGACGGGACGGTTGGCAACTCTAATAACTTATGAACAAAATAAAGTTCAACATCATTAACTTCATAGCACCACCCAGCTGTATAGAAACTCCGTCATGCTAGCTAGCACGCAGTACGGAAAAAGTCAGAATAACGAAAATAAACTCCACCTAAACTTGGTTCATATCTGACCCAGAGAGACTGCAGGTCATAACTTCTTACCTGAAGTTCAGTTCACACTTGGACCGCGGCCGCCTCGGGTCTCTTTTCCTTCTGCGTCCCTTTTCCTTCATCCACCTGCTGGCCTCCACCACTTGCTAATGTTACTGAATCTGTGGAAGCTCCGCGATAGCCACCACACGAAGTAATGAGTAACGACCCTATCTAAATCCCAGTAACGAGTAACGCGTTAGTCCCAACACTGTAGATTACACATATATAATAGTCAAGTATGTCGAGTATGCCATAATGAACCACTAAAATGGAAACCACACTCAACAGTTCATTGCACCTAAATTTTGTTGTGCAAGTAGTTGTAATGCCCATTCTTTCCCTGTGTCCAGTTTATTGTTCTGTGCTGGTGTATGAAGAATTTACAAGATCACTGACATTTGGCTTTTTTTTTTAAAGCTTGTTAAGCTACCCTTTGTAAATCTCTGAAATTTACTTGTCAGCCTAGGTAAACTGGAGGAGGAGTTTGAGAAGAAGTTTAACAGCCTGCCACAGTATAGCCCGATGACCTTTGATAAAAAGGGCACTGCTGTTGCAAAAAAAAAGAAGTCCGACAGCACCACCATCCAAAGAGATGAGTCTAAGACCGGAAAAGGTAGGAACAAAGTTTGAGGTCCAGTCTACACTAGAATAAATAATGTGATATACATATGAGTGACAAATTAAAGAAACACTCAAACCCTCGGCCCCTGAAGATTTGGTGGATTTTGTTTGGGGGGTTTGTGTTCCCTTTGACTGAAGATTGAATGGTTACTGGATGTGTTCTCTTGAGGATCACGATATCCCAGTGTATAGGACACAACAGTTCACAACATTTCATTGGGTGATTAGATGAGGACTATTTGAATGACATTCTATGGCCTTCACAGTCATTGGACCGTACCCTAACTGGAAGATTTCGCCCAGTTGTTAGACAGCAATTTCCACTGCCGGCATCAAAACATCTAACTATATATTTTCAATCAATGTTTTAGACACCTATGGACATTAAGGCACTAAAGCTTGATGTTGAGTTTTTTTTTTTTAATTTGTCACCCATTTCTACACCCTCACTTATCATCCATAATCCACTCTATACCTGTTTATACAGTCCTATTCAGGTACTAAGGACCAGTTCTCATTATGTATAAAAAAAATAGAAACAAACCAAAGAAACCTTTGGACTCCATAACATTGAATTTCCATGATCTTCCTTTCTTTACCTATCTGTTTTTTTGTTGTTTGTTTGTTTTTTTTTTTGTTTTTGTTTTTTGTTATATCAGGGCCATCTCAGAAAAAGACTACATTCCACAAGATTGTTAGGACGAGATTGCACAAACAAAAAAAGGAGAAACCAGGTGCAGTGGAAAAAGGTGAAATAGATTGTTGATTTTTGCGCTTTATATAGCAGGTCCATGAACCATTTTCAAATTAAAACTGAAACACAGGGGATGAAAATGTTCAAAAGTTACCTGTTTTTGTGATTTTTAAGTTATTAAACAAAACTGTAACTAAAGGACACAGGGGATATCTATGAAATACTCTGCAGAGAATTATTTGTAAACAGTATGCTTTTGTTTGGTCACAATGAATGATAAAATTGTAATCGTTAAGTCATTGTTAAGAGGACTCAAATGTCTGTGCCGGTGATTTTCAGTTTTTTTTTTTATGTCTGTGCAATGGTCAAATGACTGAAACCATTGTGGTGATTGTGCTCCACAGCAGTGGGACAGACTGATTCCACACTGGATATAGGTTCGGAAGTCAAATTATGTGCTCCCGTTCCCATAATGTGCCCAGATGTCCAGGGCACTGCTACCATGGAGATACTAGTTGGTAGCCAGAAACGAAAGGCAAGGAAGACTAAGATCACACACTTGGTGCGCACGGCACATGGCAGTGTGTCTCCAAGTGAGGGTGAGTAACGTCAATATCCATTTTGTTTTTGCAGTTTAGCTCAATGTATCAATATACATGAAAAAAATGTCATTTTGAAAGTGGCAGGTCCAACTTGATAGTCCAGAATTTGTCTTATGCTGATATTATATTTTAATTTATTTAATTAGTAAGATACTCAGTCCACCCAGGCTGATATATTAAGGAAACTGGAACTAAAAGCTTATTAGCTTGTAGCAGCCTGTACCTACATTGTCTGATAATTCTTGTATACAGTATCTTGGCATTAAACTGTAAATTGAAAATGGCAGCAATGTATTTCTCAAAGTCTCCGCAACTCTGAAAGTGTCCGTGTGGTCAACAACTGACACGCATCATGCCGCTATCGTGTGACCCAATCAGAGATAGTCAGGGGCGGGACCTCTAAAATTGGCCATGGTCCTGTAGTTGTCCCGTAGTCCTTTGTGTGTACATTTGAAAGTGCAGGTGGAAGAGGGAGGTGAGTAGCTTGAATAAAGCGATATCAATTCATTAAATCCTGAATCAACTTTTAAATATAAATGTATTTTACCAGAAACGCCAGAATCTCAGATTAAAGCTCTCAAAACTATTTCAACAACCACCAAACAGCAAATGAGAGCAGGTAAACAGATTCTGCACAAAGACGTAAACACAGAGCACCGACGCGACGCATCAGAATCAGCTTTCTCTTTCTTGGCTTTCTCACCCGACGGCACCTACACGGACACGTCTCTCTCCAACCAAAATTCACTGAACCAGCAGCAAAATAAGATCTAAACTACGCTTCACATTTGATAAATATTGTCATTACCTTTAATCTTACTTTTGCTGTTTTGCTTCCACCACGATAAAATCACACTTCGTGCACAGCTCTCTCTCTCTCTGTGTACTTCAAGAACAGTTTTCCCATCTCAAATCTTTGTTTTTCGGCGTTATTTATTCGCCTATTACCCACCAGTCTACCGTTGTTTACAGCACTAATGGCTGCTGTCTTTTTTTTTTTTTTTGGACTTGAATGTTCTCAGACAAGAAAGCCTAATTTCTGCTGTTCAATACTGTAGAAATTTATACTTTTTAAAATTATGCAGAATATTTTTAAGGTTATATGCTATAAAAAGCCAGGCCAGGAAAATCTCCTTCATGTTTTTCTGTGTTTTATTCTCAGTTACTTTGACACAAAGGCATCTGCTGTGATGTTCACACCTCTGATAAAGTCTCACATGTATCAGTACTGATAAATGATCAGAATTATAAACAGCCTTTTTGTGTTGTTCTTGTTAGTAAATGGTAAATCGACCAATTCTTTTTTTCCAAAGGTTGATTCTGTTCATCTGGATGTAGCGTTTTCAGATTCTGAAGATTTACTTAACTGGCTGATTGAGAATGCATCAAGATATAGCGCTTTTCTACTCAGTCTGAGCACTCAACTTGTGCAGTCACCCAAACTCTTTTTCTAAGCTGTTTCTACATGCTTCCTGTGTAACAATCACACAGTCTTTTTGTGGCAGAGCTGAAATGCAGTGGAAATAGAATATTTAGTCATATGTTTAGTTTTATGGTAAAGAGGGACCACTGCATTTCTGCAAACTGGCATAATAAAAACTGAATCCACAGACTTTGTGAAAACTAATAATTTTATTCTTAAATTTACCACTTTATTAGATAAACCTGCTTAACTTCTTGTTAATGCAAATATTTCAACAGCCAATCAAATGGCAGCAGTTTAAGCATGCAGAGATGGTTGAAGTTCAAACCTAACATCAGAATGAGGAAGAAAGCTGGTCTGAGTAATACTCAACTATTTCAGAAACAGATCTACTGGGATTTTCCTGCACAACAGTTTCCAGATTTTCAATAAAATCCAGTTTGTCTAGGCAAAAATGCCTTGTTTGTGCCAGAGGTCAGAGGGGAATGGCAGGTCAGTGTCTAAAATGTATCCAGCAGTTTGTATCTCACGTATGGTATCGGCCAGAATTTCATTGTACAAAAGGAATAAAGGGCTATTTTATTCTGTTCTACTCTGCTTAAAGCATTCTTCAGATAAAAGAATTAGCGAAAATATTCACACACTCGTACTCTGACGGATGCATCAGGGGGAACTCGAGGTTCTCGCCCAAGGATACTCTTACACACAAACATAAGGAGCTGGGATTCAATCTACCGAAATTCCAGTCGGTAGATGACCCATTCTGCCACCTGAGTCACAGCATCCCCAAACATAAGTGTTTGAATATAGCTCCTTCCTTCTTAGTACACCCTTTGCTGTGATGTGTGATGCTACATGTGCTGTAGATAGTGAAAGAACTGAGTGAGAGCACATTTGACCAAATTCATTTCTACGTACCACAAGAATCAGCTAATATTTACTTATATGATCCAACCATTTCTACTTGTTGGTGGCACGATACACTCTGGCATCTCATGTCATGACGGTTTTTGGTAAAATTATTTTGAAACTTAATATGTGAGCAGAAACTATTAATGACATGTTCTGAAAAATATTCAGTTATGTTCCTGAGAATTGTACATTTGTGCTTTGTTACTACAGAAGACAAAACAAGGGACCTGAACCAGGACCAGGATAAGAAGCCATTACCACAACAGAATTTATGCAATGAAATGGGGTGCTATAGTCACAGAGGAGAGGAGGCAGAAAGAAGCACCATATCACAAGAGCTGCCTGCCTTGTTCAGCTTGGCTGCCCTCGCTGAGGTTGCAGCCATGGAAAATATTCACAGGTAGAGACCGGTTACCGTATGCATGGACTTGGCTTAAGGATTGTAATATACCAGAGATTAGTTAGGTTTTATTTATTGGGTCATTTTAATTAAGGTGGGCAATTTTTTTTTTTTGGGGGGGGAGTATTCCTCACTCAAATGTTATAAATTTGACCATTTAAAAAAATAGAGTGCACTGCTAGCACCCTTACATGCTGCTGTCTAGAATTTAGATATCTCATATGAACCATTCAGTTCAGTTCAGCTTTATTTATACGACGCATGCATATGACTCATTGCAACCCAGTATTTTTATTTTCACTTCTACTCTCTGATTCAGCTTTATATCAAATGACTCTTTATTTGTGTTATTCAGCACTGCAATAACCAAGCTTGGAGAGTTATAGCATTTTTAATACTCTTTCTTTTTTTTTTGTGGTTTTGGCAGGTTAAAATGTAAACAGCATTTGATCTTTTTTTTAATTTATTTTTTTATACCAGAACCCTTTATTTCATTTTTAAATGAAAATCACAGAAAACGTATTTATAAACCACACCGTGATAATGTCGCATGAAGATGCAAACATAAAAAGCTAGGTTTGTATACTAACGTTTGTACCCATCATTACTGAAAAATAAAGTTGTTGTTTTTTTCACAAACAAACAAACAAAAACCAAAAAAAATAAAAAATACTCTTTCTTTTTATTGTATATTGTGTTATTTTGGTTTTATGACTGATTTGTCTTCTGTCAAGAATGAAGACATGAAAAAAGGAGAGAGAAAAAATGCTATTCATATGTCATATAGTCTTTTAGACTATGGTGGAAACGCAGAGAACTTGAAAGAATTTCCAAGAACTTTGCATTAAAAGACAATGGGCCTAGTGCTTGAAAGCAAAATCTTTAAACTAATTTAAAAAATGAAGCATACTCTTCAGTCTCTCTTACTGTCTTGTTTCAGAGGTCAGAGAGGCTTGGCTGAGAGTCAGAATAACGAACTTTCCCAGACTCCAGTTCTCATCTCCTGCGCTGATCAGTGAAACTCTTCTGCTGTTCTGAGAAGCTACAACACAAAAGTTTGCATTGGATCTCAACTTTCCTCTGTGGTAGCCCCACACTGAATGAAGACTTGATCGAGAAGCTTTGGACATATTCCACCTTCCGCTTTGTGGTAAATTTCCTCGAAGGAGAAGGAGACCTTCTCCTCCTCCTCCTCCTCCTCCTCCTCCTCTTCCTCCACCTCCTCGTTATCTCAGTGTTTCCCCTTAAACCTTCTTTTGGTTTGGGGGAAAGATGCCTTTCTTAAGTCCATACATCCCCATCCCCACTCCCAGATATGCTAATAGGGCCTTTGAAAGTATCAAGCTATCAACCAGTGCATGGCTTCTCTTATAGAGATGGATGTCATGGGTTTATTGTACATGTTTATCAAACAGAGGCCATTTTAAAGTTAAGGCATTTTAGATGGAAAGAAAAAAGAAACTGCATTTGTTTTAGAGACAAATCAGCTTTCTCTCATCTTTTATACCTCACACATACACCTGCTGAAGAGTTCCCTCCACCTCTGTTACAATACCTCTGCATTTAAATAGCTCTTAATCCCTTTTAGCTTCAACCCAAAATGGCTTAAACCAGGGTAACCAACCACGATTGGTAGACCATTACTAACTTAGTCTTACAGTGTACTCAAACACTGAAGAAATCTTGGTTGAGGTTTGGATATGTGTTAAAATTGTGATGCTTTACTACAAAAGTGTGGTAACCGCAAATAAATGTGTTATAGCCTGAATATGAAAAGTAGACCTTTGCATCACTTGCATGTAAACAAGGAGCCCTGTCTAATTTCTAGCAGTAGAATCACAGTGTGGCTATGAGGCTTGTGGGGGAAAAAACACATTTTTGTGATGGGGAGATTGAGAAAAAGTGCTTAAACTATAGTCTTAACCCTCCCACCTACACCCTCTTTGCCACCAGAAAGCCCTCAAGCAGCTTCTTGCTCAGTGTCCCAAAGTCAGTGCAAACATTTCTGAAAAGTAAATGCAGTTTTTGTCAATACTTGATCTTATTGCAGTTTGCGTAGCAGTTAGAAAGGTTAATTTATGTGTATGTCTTACTTCATGAAAGAGGTGTTTTGCTTGTTTATACCATAAAAATAGACTAATCATAAGTTTAAGTTTAAATTGCTCATGTAACAGGGTAATAAAATGCATCATCTCCACCAGAGGCAGTGTTCTTACTTAAGTCAGTAGTATCTTTAACACCCTCAGGACCTGGCTAAAACCAGCCACAATTTCAACATAGATGAGAGGAGTCTCAGTGGAATATATGTGTGTGTGTACATATATGTATGTATATGTGTGTATATATATAGTCATTCCACTGAGACACCTGTCATGTATGTACCACGAGGAGCCTTCCTCTTTGGAGACCAACACTTAGATTCAGTCACATTTAATAACTTTTATAGCTTTTAGCTTTCTATTTGATCGTTCTTTTTTGGGTGTGTGTTTATGATATTCTTTCAACTAAGTCCCTTAAGAACTTCACTGTTTTTCCTGAGGTGAAGTTTACTGGATTAGGACTGTTGTTAAAAAAAAAAAAAATTAAGCTCACAGATGACAAATGTGTCTCTACTGTGATAAGCAGAGAGGCACAAAAAAATGCACTGTCTTCAAATAATGAGGTGTCTTTCAGTGCTTTCAGACACTTAATGACAGGAGACAGAAATATTGTAATATTGGATCTCAGAGAAGTCATTTTTTTTAGAAATGCATTATTTCAGAGTCATTCATATCTTATATAGGCCTTACAATGCAAATATTCCTGTACATGCAACAAGTCTTTAATTCATCTAAGAACTTGTTTTATTTAAAAAAAAAAAAAAAAAAGAGTCAAAGTTAAAGGAACCCCAAAATGCTTTATGATAATCCTAAGAATGGATGTATGTAGTTTTTTTCTGATATAAAAGAAAGTTACATTTCTGTCACTTGGTACAATGGTAAACTGTATAGTTCTTCCACTGGTGGAAATCAGTGTAGTTCTTTGTAAAGACAAAGAAGTTGTCTTCCCCCAGACCACACAGAGGAAAAAAAGAGACAGATACTAGCTTGTAGCAAGTGAGTATGTTGACATTTGCCAAAGAAGGGAAAGGTATATTCAGCCACAAATCCTGCTTTTTTTTGGGGGGGGGGGGGTGCTCTAGATTGTTTCTTTTTGTTTGTTTTTTAGGTATTTAAATATTCAGGTAACATTATCAGCACAAATCATCCTGTGTGGGATACAGAGTTGGAATTAAGTGCAACAAAAAGGCACCACTAAATGCCTGTATATATTCAGTATTTGCACCTTATGACCCAAGGCAAAATGGTCATGGTCTTGGAAGCATATATAAATTTTACCCACTCTGTGGAAATTATGCATTTTAATGATATATGTATACAGTGTCATGGAAAAGTATTTGCCACCTTGCTAATTTCTTTTTTTTCTTTGCCTGTTTGTGAAACACGGAGGTTTGAGAGCATTAAACAAAACGAATATTAGACAAAGATCCAAGTCCTTGGTGGCAAGAACTCATACACTGCATCTCTGATAACTGGTGATTTTTTTCATAGTGCTGTGGAGGAATGTTGTTACATTCTTCTTTGCAGAACTGAAATCTGCCACATTGGAGGGTTTTAAGAATGAAAAACCTTTGACTAGGCCACACCAAACCCCTCACAGATGGACTTTCTAGTGTGGTCTCTGGTAAGTCCAAATTCTCCTTCAGGATTTTCTAGTAGAGAGCAGAATTAATAGTTTAAACAATCATGCAAAGTCATCTGGGTCCCAGACCTCACACTACCATCATACTGTTTAACTGTTGGTATGATGTACTTTTTATGAAATGCTATTTTGGTTTTATGTTAAATGTTACGAAATGTATCATTTCCAAAAGAGTTCAACTTTTCCCTCGTCAGTCCATAGAGTATTTTTACCAAAATTCTTGGATCATCAAATTGGAGTTTTTTTGTTCATTTGTTTTTTGACAGCAGTGGCTTTGACCTTGGGTCTCTTCCATAGATATCCCTTATTGTTGAATCATGAACACTGCTTCATAACTGAGGCAAGTGAGCCTTGCTGTTCTTTACAAGTTGTTCAGTGTACTCTTGCAGTAATTTTGGTAGGCTGGCCACTCCAGAAAAAGAATCCCACTGTTCCAGGTTTTCTCCATTTGGATGATGGCACTTGTTGTGGTTCGCTGGAGTCTCAAAGCCATAGAAATCCTTTCCAGTCTGATAGATGTCATCTTTTTCTTTAAGTTATGGGATGATGTCCTTTCGTTTAGCCTACTTTTCTTTGTCAGACAGGTTCTGTTTAAGTAATGTCTTAATTCAGCAGGTCTGGCAGGAGTGTGGATAGTGAAAGTGAACTCGGGTTTCTAAAAATGTGGTTCATCACAATTTATTATGTAACATGTTGGGGCAAATACTTTTTCAAGTCACTATGTGTGTGTGTCAGTAACAAAACCACACATCTACAATACAGCCATAATTTTGTCATTTTCCCTCACTTTTTCTACCTAGAAAATGCTTCTATAATGTTGAATTCCTATATTAATGACCTAAATGATTATAATACCCTTTTGTGTTAGCACTGTCTTCTTGAATGTAATCATTTTGTACCTGTATTTTTCTAATTCAGTCTTGATTGTACTGTATTGTATGCTATGATGGTATACTGTTTCTAAGGTACATAGTTGTTACAACCAACAGTTCTCATGACAGAAAAGCTGCTGCACCTTATAGTCACTGGAAATGTGGGGCAGTTTTAAGTCCAAAGGACTGTCATGTCACCATCCATAAGACTGATAAAAGAAAGATTTGTGCATATTGAGTGGTTGGAAAATCTCTTTCCCCGGTTTGTTACTTTTTTCCTTTGCAGTAAAAGTAAAAGTCTGTTCAGAAGAGTTCAACTGGGACACTTCTGCAATCACAACAATGAAATGCTTGAGTCCCAGTTTATTTATTACTGCTCCTTTTTATAGTTTTAGTCAAATAAAAAAAACAAACAAACAGTGAAATATAGAAATGAATATGCATCTGTTTATACATGCACATGTATAAGGTTATTTACCCTTTACTGGATGTAGATCATGACTTTTTTGTGATGAAGAGAGTGTCGGATCTTCTAAGTATCTTTCCTCCAATAGGGTTGTATATCATGTGCTTACTCTAATTTATGTTACTGTAATCATTATGAAACGTCTGTTTTTGATTGTTAAAGCCCAGTTGTTACATGCAGCCTTGCCTTACTGGAACCCCTGCTTAGTGTGGGATCCCTTAGCCACCCGACCTTCCATACCCCACATCGTCCTAAACTATGTCATGACACTGTTTGCTGATGCAACTGTTATTCCTTTGACACTTTCTTCTGACGCAACTTTTGCTTCTTGAACACCTATTAAAATAACATCTACTACATCTGTGTGGAATAAGTGTTTTTATATACATTTTTCCATTGCCTTATTATATCTATAATGAACAGCTAGTGCCCTGTTTTGTGTGTGTGTGTGTGTGTGTGTGTGTGTGTGTGTGTGTGTGTGTGTGTGTGTGTGTGTATACAAAAAAATAGTTGATAACTGTACATGGACCACAGCACAACCACCATACTAACATTGTTGTTTAAAACAGATCTGACCTGTAAAGGTGTCCTGTGGAATCTGCCAATACGGCGAGAGCAGCAGGTTCTTTAAGTCATGCAAGTTGAGAGGAGGGGACTCCATTGATCAGACATGGGATTTGGGAGGATTATCCATTTGAAAGAGGCCACTGCCACGAAGGGGTGTACATGGTCTGCAGTAATGTTCAGGTATGTGCTATGTCTAGAAATGACATCCACGTGAAGTCCAGGACCCAGGGTTTCTCAGGAGAATTTTGCCCAGAGTGTCACACTATCCTTGCCAACTTGCTTTCCTTCCCTCTTGCTGCCATGGATAGCTGTGGATCAGTCCCCATCTTCTCTGGTCTGCATGCCAAATATCCTTGGGCAAGATACTAATCCCATGCATGTCAGTGTTAGATAAAAAGCACTTACATAGCAGAGCATAGAAAAAAGTGCTTGTGCGAATGGGTGAACGAACCAAGTTGTCTAAAGCGCTCAGAGTAGAAAGGCGCTATATGAGAACCAGTCCATTTACCATCTCGTCCACAGATAAATGCTGCACATGCATCTGTCTGTCCTCATCACGTAAAAGAAACCGTGATTCACCAGATCAGACTACCTTCTTCCAGCGCTCCAAGGTCAAGTTTTGATGCTCACATGCAAAGGGACTGTGACTGACCTGTGACTTTGCAATCCCATACAAAGCAAGCTGTGGTGCACTGTGTTTGGACTCTTATATGAAAATCTTTTCTGCTATTTCTGTTATATTAACTCTTTTTTTTTTTTTTTAAATATTGTACCACATGGGCCAGCCTTTGTTCCCTGCGCCATTCGATGAGCATTGGGCGCCTATGTCCCTGTCACCGGTTTACTGGTAGCCCTTCCTTGGACCGCTTTTGGTTGGTACTCACCACTGCAAGATATTTTTTAAAACACAAGTTTAATTTGGTCTTGCATTCTTTTAGTTTCTTCTCCACATTCAATGGCTGGTTTTGTTTTAGGTCCTTTGTAAGATATCAAATATTCTATTTGTAATTAAACAAGAATATGTCAAATATCTCTTTGTTGTGTATCATGGACAAAAAGAATTCACTTTTTTAATAGGATTGGAATTCAATTTTCAATATTTTTGGAAGATTACATTGGCCTCCAGCAACACTGTGAGGAATGCTGGAGTTGTTTTTGATCAGGATATTTCCTTCAATGCACATATTACACAAATATGCAGAACTGCTTTCTTCCATTTCCACAATATCTCCAAAATTAGAAACATTCTGTCTCAAAGTAATGCTAAAAACTAGTTCATGGAACTGTTACTTCTGGGACTTCTGTAATTCATTATTATCAGTCAGATTATCAGATTATTATTTATCCTAAAACTCCCTGATCCAAAATGTTGCAGTAAGAATCCCTGGCATTGGCACTTGCATGCTCACTCAGCCCCATTTATCTCAAAGACCTTATAGTACCCTATCAACCCAATAGAGCACTTCACTCTTCAGATTACCGGCTTACTTGGTAAATAGACTGATTCTTATATAGCACTTTTCTACTATCCTAGAGTATGCCAACTGCTTGTGACTTTACTTGTGGCATTTAAAAGTAGAATGGGAAGCAAAGCTTTCAGGCCTCTCTTCTGTGGAGCCAGTTTCCAATTTGGATTCAGGAGACAGACACTATCTCTACTTTTAAGATTAGGCTTAGTGGCGCAAAGGTCAGCACTTTGTGAAATAGTCCATCTGTCACAAACAACCTTGCCAAAGTCACCTAAACCACTTTTCTTCCTCATTCTGAGGTTCGATTAGAACTTAAACAGGTTTTTTCAACATTCCTAAATACACTAAGGTACTGTGACTTGATTGGTTGATTAGATATTTTTGTAGGATCTGCTAAACAGGTGTACCTAACGAAGCCCCAGTAACCCCCCTCTCACCTTTATCTGTACCATATATAACTGTAAACGGTATAACCGCTGCCATAGCTGGACTGGCCATCGGGCATACCGGGCATCTGCCCGGTGGGCTGATGGTGATTTTTCGTTTTTAATGGGCCAACGGTTTTGTTTGTTTGTTTGTTTTGTAACAGTATAAACAATGAAAGGTGGTGGATTGGCCAAATGGTCATGATCGACTCTGGGCTGGACCAATTACAACCGATGAGGTCGAACTTTAAAGTTCTGTATTTTGGTGTAAAGGAACGTCATTTGTCCCGAACTTCAGCAAAAAAAATTTAAAAAGACACAAAGCTGGAGTTATTCTGTGTCTTTACTCTGCATAGCTGCCTCTTCTTATCTCATTCTCTCCCCCTCCATCTCCTGTTGCTACTTCAATCATGAAACTCATCAATGATCAGCTGATCGGCTTTGCTGTCCTAAGTCCCGTCTCGTTTGTTTATCCCCCACTTTGCGCCAGAAAGACGAAACCAGCGGATGTCGCGCTAAACAACAGCAACACATTTAAGCTTGATAAGCTGTTGTTATAATTTATTTGATATTACTTTCTAGTATCAGCTGATGTTTGCTGGAGCCACAGCTGTATACTTTTCTTTCTTATTCTCATTTAAAATGTCTAGGTTTTAATAAATACAACCGAATCTTACAACCAAAGTGGTCATCTGATGTAAAATATATAAAAATTCATTATTGTATATAGTAAATATTAAGTCTAATATATGCCCTAATAAGCTATAGTACCATGTGTGCAGTCTGCAATTCTGTTGCAGAAAGATATTGAATCTTTTTAATTACTGTAGAAAAATAACTG